TAAATATATAATAAAAATTGTTAATAAAATTCAACTAATAAAAATTGCCTAATAAAATATATATAATTTAAATAAATATTTAACTAATAAATTTGCTAATATAACAATATATTTAGACCTGATATTTTGTCTACCTTCCCCCTACTCTATGATATCAGCTGATATCTGACACTTCTCTAATATTAAAAATAATAATTCAAATTATTAGCTAAAAAACCAACTAGTTGACAACTAGTTGACTAAAATTTCTAACTAACTAATCATTGATTATCTATATAATAAAATTTTAAAATTTAAATTTCTTTAGCCAATCAAATTGATACAAAAACATGTGATTATTTATTTGACCAATCAAATTTATCAAAAACATGTGACAATTAGTTGCAACTAATCGATTGAAAATTTTGACCGATTTGAAACACTAGTCGAAAAGATAAAGTGACTTAAAAGCTTGGGTAAAATGGCATATTTACACCCATATCCTTTGTTTGAATCATTTCGTGTATGCTACACTACGGCTGTTGAGTGTAACATGTGGTTCGAGTTTTTCGGAGACATCGCAACCAATTAGAATCAAAATTTTTTTTTGTATATTCAATTTTTCGCCAAATTATATGATAACGATTTGGATCACTACCGTGAGCCGATTCAATGTGCAAGGGATGTGCCGTTTATTATGTATGTACGCGCCGATACTTAATTTCTTTTTGTTAGAAAACCCCTTCTAGGTTATATCATGTTAAAAAAAAAACCATTACACCCATCAATCAATTAATTATAAATATTATCTTAATTCGTAATTACATTTGTATAATCTATTTTTGATGCCTAATCCATGAAATTATTGTAAATTAAATCTATTATAAATTTAAGCTACTTTCTCCTCAGGCTGAGGTACAAGATAATAAGGCAAAGCAGCTTGCATTTTTCCTGCATTTTCACAAGCAATCAACCATTCAGGCCTAACAATAGGTATACTATTATCCAAAGCCTTTTGATAATTTGGCCCTCCTTTCTCATTACACAATAAATGAGTAGTATCATTACCAACAGAATCACTATATCTAGCACCAATTCTCTTTAAAACTTCTTTCAATTCCTGCTTGGTTGGAGTTACATCATCTGAAAAAGAACCGAAACAAACATTGATGCCAGTAAGATTTTCTAAGTCATGAGTTTTAATTTTGATCTTGTCTGAGGCAAAAGAACCAGCGGTAGTTTTGATGATTATATGAAATTCATATTCTGTATCCAATTGCAAACCGCTTAATTTAATTGAATTGGTGGTGCCAAGGGAAACTTGTTGACTCACTCGAGTACCACTACGGAAAACCTCTAAAGATTTGAATGTTGCAGTATAAAGTACTAAAGGCTCCCATTCGAGAATAACAGATGTTTGAGTAATGTGTTTAACGTGAAGTTTAGGACGTTCTGGCGAATTACGACCAAATTCTGCTAAAATTGCTTCTTGAAGTTCCCAAAATTCATTACGCTGACGAGCTTCTTGATCATAATTTCGATTTACACTAATGTTTACTATGCTACCGGAAGTTACGCCAGGTGGAAGTAAAAGCGAAGGAAATTCAATTAGGTGATGGTCTTCAGTTAACAAAATTGCCTTGAAAAAAATATAAAATTCTTCCTTTTTTAGTATTCTCGTTCAGTAGCACTAGAATTATAAAATCTTGCATATAAAAAGTTTACCATCCCCGCATCGAGCTTTCCAACTGTAAACTGAACTGACGTCGAAGCAGCCATTATTATAATTAAAATTTTTTTTTTTTTCTGTGACCGAATTTATACAGTTTTATGTATCACGAACAAAATTTTTGTGTTACCATAATTGGATAATATAATAATAACACCAACATCCAAATCAAAGAACAAATTTTTCTTGCAATAATGGTACGTACTACGTGAGCATTAATGGAATTCGTACATTAGGTTATTACATGTCTTATTCCAGTTTGAAACTTTGGAGTTCATAACACATCTATAAAAAACAAAAAACGTGCTTTTCACACGCGCTAGATTCCACACAAATAAAACGCGGCTATTTAAGTGTTAGAAAGCTTTATCGTGTTCTGTGCTTAAAATATTGGAATATCACTTTATTATTTAAAAATAATAAGAAAGTAGACAATAATTAGCTTATAGAGGGAAATGCAATACAGAACAAAAAGCTAGGTGATAGTTAACTCTTAAAATACAAATATAAAAGGCAGATCGTAACCATTCTTCAAGACTGTTATTATAATATTCGCTTGAAATATTATTATTTCGCATTTAACAAGAATATTCAATTTCTTTGTAGTTGTTCTACTCATTTTTCAAGACTTTAATTGGGCAACAAGTTACCGTGGAATTGAAAAACGATCTTGCTATCACTGGCATTCTTACTTCAGTTGACCAATTCCTAAATATCAAACTTGATGAAATCCGGGCTGTAGATGATGCAAAATATCCACATATGGTATTTTATTACATTTCATCTTTCCTGCATTTTATTATCTCTATATGTGTCATTGTATAATTTTGTCAAGCAAAGATTATATAAATATTGAATATCTCAGGTTTGCCCTTTCTTTCTTTTAAACGAAAGTGACTTGTTGAACAATTTTTTGATTTCTTGATGGTCTAAAAACAATAGATGGCCGTCAAGAATTGTTTTATTCGCGGATCGGTTGTTCGATATGTCCAATTACCTGCTAGTGCTGTAGACACTGCTTTATTACAAGATGCGGCCAGAAGAGAGGCACAACAGTAGTGTTGCGATGCAAACCTTTTTTCGAATAATGACATTATTACGTAGTTTAAGTTTGGGAAATTGTGATTTCTACTTTATCTGGCTTCATTTAGGATAATAACAAAATATAAGTCCCATTTTTGATCAACAGTATCAAACTCAAAAACCAGTCATTTATTAAATCAATGCCATAGATTATTAAATTCGTTTTTATTTTCAAATTAAGAATCTAAGAATGATGTAGCAACAAGCAGGATTGAATTGTTAAATAAATTGATATGTTAGGTCTACTAGTTATATCGGAAATGTATACAATAAGTGAAATAATTATAAAAGCTTATCAAAAATAAACTTTTCGAAATATACCAAACAATTTTTAGAAAATTCCTTAATAAAAATTGGCTATGTAGTCTTTTTAGAGTCTAATTTCAATTTTATAAATTTGCTGATATGTATAACTATATAGTATATACTATAGTTATCTTTCTTATAATTACTTTCTATATAATCACAAATTCTATACAATTACACAAACATGTCTATTTATTTAATCTATATTAAAAATATCTCTATATAATTACAATTACATTATAGTTATTGTCACATTTTTTTAAAATTCTTATATTTATTTATTAAATAAATTATCTTTTTAAAATTATAATTAAATAGCTTTTTCAAGCATCCAATCAATTAATCAAATAATAATTGTGATGATATTTAAATATTATAATTGATAATGATATTTATATATACTAGACAGTATAAGATATTTACTTTTTATATATAAAAGCTTTAAATTATAATAACTTTTTTAAAATGAATTAAATAAAAAAACTAGTAGTGTCTCACTATTAATATTTAAAAAAAAAAAAAACTAGTAGTATATAATTTTTAAAAACCTTTTATAGGCTTATATAGTAAATATGATATTAAAATAAACAAATTTCTTTTTTTTTATTTTAATACTTTCTTACTTTTTTTGCTTGTATATTTTATTATGATTCCTTATATTTCTGTTTTTATTTTTTATTTTTGTATTTTTTTTTGATTTAGCTCTTTGAAAAATAAGTAGCTACTATAATTAATGATCAAAAAGCTTATATCCTTAATAAGTTGAGGATTCGATATAAAGCTATTTGCTGCTAGATAAGGTTATACCTATACTTTAATGCCAAGTGAGTCTTATTAGTATAGAAATATAATATAAAAAGTTATGTTTAATCTGTTAATAGTAATTTTTTAGTACTTTTAATAAAATACAATAATAAGACAAGACTATTAAATTAAAAAAAAACTAATAAGAGACATATCAGATAATAGCTGAGATTAGTTTACTATAGAGCTCATTCTCTCTTTCTTTGAGAAATTTAGTCATTCTGATTAGTCATATGTATATTATAATATAACAAGTTAAACCTTTGGTTAACAAGTTACCTTACTT